ACACATTAAAACTTGCATTTGAAGACAGCAACAGCCAAAACCCCAGTATGTAAAGCACACTGGGGTTTCCTTGCTTTCCACAGTGCAATTGTCAGCATCATATTTACTATTCCTACAGTTATTTCTACTGGGGTTCACACATTAAAAACCGTATCCTCTTCCTCATCCTTAACATTTGCATATTGAAAGTGGCTGGTCAAATGTACTATCAAACTAAGCCAGTGAAGACCTCAGACAACATGACGAAATTTTTAGTGACAACTCCCTTTTGTGCTCCTCACACACTAGTTAGCAACTTAGCCTTATCTAAATACATTTGACCTTCCACACCTAAAGTAGGGATCCTGCGTAAGTTTAATTTGTGAAGATCTGTAAAGAAAGCAAGCCAAACCTAAACTCCAAGCATAGAATCAGACTCCTCTCCTAAAGCCAGACCTTAGTACAGCATTATTTACAAACCTTTAATGAACAATTGATACTTAAAACAAAGATAAAAAATAAAATCTTAATCAGTTAAAGCTGTACTTAGCTGCTCTGCTTATTTTAGTACTGTGTAAGACTAATTTCCATCACATATATAAAAAAAAAAAAACAGTCCAATAAGCAAAACCTATTGATGGGAGGGGTAGCAATTCTGCTTCATTCACACATGTACAGTGTGACTGACAATATTTCAAACATAACAAATGCACAGTCCTGAGCCAATTTCAATATGTGGTACATTCCACGTGGTTCTCTATACTTTTCAGCTCCTTTTAGGACAGTACATTATCACCTAGCCCAACATGTGTATGGATCCAAAAATCTAAATGAGAAAACTGATTGTAGAACAGCCTAAATGTTGTTGTTGACATCCGTTTGTCATTGTCAATTTATATGATACAGACTCCATTTCCTTATTCTAAAGCTGTTTGAGAAAATGCTTACAAAGCTTTTAAAGCTGAGCAATAATGTGAAGATTTAACAAAGTTCTCCCAGCTGTGTCCAGGATCCAGTTCACATCAACAGCTGAACCAAGCCAGTGGTGTGGCATCTGATGCTTGTTTCCCTCCAGTGGCCGCTGCAGCGACACTGCACCTTCAGCTCTGGGGAGGACTGTCATCTTTGCTGAAGGGCTGTGTTGATCCAGGCTTTACCCAAGACAACCCTGACACCTGCGCTCCCTTGTGGTGATCCTCAGGCCGTCTCTAGGGCAACAAAGGCAAATTTGCAGTTACATAACGAACAGCTCAACCAATCAAAGTGCTCATAGCTCACTCTAGCGTCACCCAACCCACTGGGATTGAAGTCTGGGAGAAGTACAGACTGCACTCTCCTACTCAGTCACATTGTAAACTTACTTTGTTTGTGAACATTCGTTCTTTTGCTTCATCATGAACAGATGGGTTCCATGGAGAAAAGCTGTAATCAATTGATAAGATTAGCAAAATTAGTCAGACTACTCATGCTTCCAAGAGTTTCACCAAAAACACAGAATTACAGGGTGTGTTTTTACGTATGTAGTGGTGGGGAGGGGTTGTGAAATTTCAAAAGATAAAATGGGGCAGTTTACCAACCTTATTGCATACGGATCATCTATCTTGGGCTGGTCAAAAAGATGGCTGTTGCATAACTTCACACTATCCACCACTTTGCTTTTGAACAACTGAACATCCTTTTCATATCTGACAGGGGAAAAACAACAATGACTTCTAAGGCAAAGAAAAATTTGTTTTCCATAGACCCTTGCTCTCATTTATTAAAACCCATGTCTACCCCTACAGTATAGTGAATTACAGTGCACGTGATGCCAAATAACTATGCTAACAAGCGGTGCGCCGACATGACGTAATGTAGGGGTGGCCAATTCCAGTCCTCCGGGGCCACTGTCCTGCTTGTTTCAACTATCCCTGCCTGACCTGCTGCTGATTACCTGGCTCAGGTGTGTTCAGCCAGTCAGAAGCTGGAAGATACCAATTCACTTTATCTTCCCTCACTCCATTTTCATCTAAGATGATATCTGCCAGCTTCTGACTGGCTGAACACACCTGAGCCAGGTAATCAGCAGCAGGTCAGGCAGGGATAGTTGAAACACAAGCAGGACAGCGGCCCTCAAGGACTGGAATTGCACACCCCTGACCTAATGGAATGCAGCTAAAGAGTAATTTATCCAGTCTCCACAGCTGAACATCTGCCTACATCATTCTACTGGTTTAGTGACAGTGTGGTATCACAATGTTAATGCTCTTTGAAATCATCATGTCAAGTGTGTAAACATGAGTAGTCATACAAACACAATCTCTATAATTCAGTAAAATGAGACCGTGGACATGTTTAAGATCAGTTACAACACAAGACTGTCAAGACTGCCCACCCCTAATGTTGCCCCACACACACTTAAAACAGACAAAAGCAATAATCGTCACATCTGCACAGTTACTGGTACAGGCCAAAGTGTTTGTTGTAGAAACCATGCTCTGCCTCTTCATTGACTACAGCTCCGCCTTCAACACAGTTATCCACTCACAAACTGTCCACACTGGGTCTGCACCCCACCCTCTGTGACTGGCTCCTGGACTTTGATTGGCAGGCCCCAGACTGTCAAGATTGGCAATAGGATCTCAGCCAGCATTGTTACAAACACTGGCACCTCACAGGGATGTGTCCTCAGTCCCATCCTCTACACCCTGTTCACCCATGACTGTGTCGCCTCCCACAAAGACAACATCATCCTGAAGTTCGCGGACGACACCCCAGTGATGGGTCGCATCACTGGCGGGGACGAAGCAGCCTACAGGAGGGAGGTGGCCAGTCTGGTGTCATGGTG